ATTTTCATAGCTTAACATTTTTATTAAAAAATGACACCTGTTCCCACATGAAAAGGAAGCACATTTTTAAGACCTCCTGATTGATTTTTCTGCATTATTCAGGAGTTGTGTTTTTATTCAGAAAAATAACAGCTACCACGCTGCACTCAAATTACCTGTGCAGACATGTGGTTTCTCTTGGTGGGGTCCTCAAACATTTCCATGACATGAGCAAACGCAGGCAGCACAGGCAAGCGGAGGACTGGAGAAGACTATCTGAAAGTCAATGCAGTTGTGTCCAACTGTGCAACCCCGTGGACTGTAGCCCACAGTGTCCGACTGTGCAACCCCGTGGACTGTAGCCCGCCAGGCTCCTGTGTCCATGGGATTCTTTAGGCAAGAACACTGGAGTGGTTTCCATTTCTTCCTCCAGGGGATCTTCCCGACCCTGTGAGTGAACCCAGATCTCCCACATAGCAGGTAGATTCTTTACCTTCTGAGCCAGGGAAGGCTGTGCACACATCCAAACACACAGGATTGTTTGCTGGAGGAGCCCATTGTCTAGTTGTGGGTGTCAGGCCAGCTCACAGTTCCCACACGCCTCGAGCAGGGCTCTGGGCAGACTCACAATCAATGATGTGGTCGTTCCATCACTTTAGACAAGTTTAACCTGGTTAAATTTGGCTGGGCTTTCCCGATGCCTCAGTGGTAAAGAACCCACCTGCAATGGAGGAGACGTGGGTTCAATCCCTGGGTCGGGAAGATCCCCTGGAGGAGGGCATGGCTACCCACTCCAGTGTTCTTGCCTGGAGAATCCCATGGACAGAGGAGCCTGGCGGGGCTACAGTCCATGGGGTCGCAAAGAGTTGGACACGACAGAGTGAGTCAACAACAAACATGTCCTCTGGCTGGATGTATACCTGGGAGAATATCCTGACTGTGATTAGGCCATGCCTCTCAGCTGCACACACTATCTTAACTACCAAAGCATTTTTGTTTTTAAAGGCCTTTGCATTCTGCTTATAGGAGGTGTTCTCTGTACTTGCTCATAATCTCGAAAAGAACAGCAGTGATTCTGTGAGAGCTGGGGAGGGGGGGCACATCCTGGGTGGATGGCCGGACTAAGGATCGTTTGTATGAAATGGCTGCAATGGGGAGGGGTTCGCTGGCGTTGCCAGAGTGTGGGGTTGGGAGTGGCAGCTGGCCTGGCACTCAGCACGCATCCTGCTTGTTTGGAGCCATCTTTGGCTCGTGACCTAATCGGGTTGTTACAGCCATCAAGCTTGGCCCCGATCCTGGGCGTGCTCAGTCGTGTCTGACTCTTTGCGACCCGATGGACTGTAGCCCGCCGGGGCTCCTCCGTCCGTGGGATTCTCCAGGCAAGAATCCCGGAGTGGGTTGCCATGCCTTCCTCCAGGGTATCTTCCTGACCCAGGGATCGGACCCGAGTCTCCCACGTCTCCTGCATTGGCAGGTGGGTTCTTTACCGCTGAGCTGACCTGGGAAACCCTGATGCTAGTTAGGTCAAATGATGTTCCTCTTTCTCTTCTCAAAACGTGGCCTGCGTTGCATGCCTCTCAACCTCCTGGTGAAACCTTTAGGTTGTTTAAAAAGTTTTAGTTTGTTCCCAGAGGCTGTCTGATATTCACAGCACAGATGACAGCATCATGGGAAATAAGAATGTCACCGGACTTGCCCTGGTGATCCAGTGGTTAAGACTTCACCTTCTGGGGCACGATGTACAGATTTGATTCCTGGTCAGGGAGCATTTATCCCACATGACCGTAAAAGTGGTACAAATAAAAAAAAAAACCTTAAAAAAAAAAAGAATGTCAAGCCTTTTCCAAATCTCTCCCTTTCTCTTCTGCTACAAAGCTTATGCTTCATATTCTGTTGTTTTCTCATGATGCACTTTCATTCTCTCCAACTAGCCTATAAATGTTGGCCTATTCCTTCATACTGCATGTTAGAAATCTAAGCAAATAAGCCCATTTGTATCTTTTTTTAAAAATTAACATTCCACCTATTTGTTGTTGTTCAGTCGCTAAGTCATGTTTGACTCTTTGGGACCCCAAGGACTGCAGCCCACCAGGCCTCCCTGTCCATCACCAACTCCCGGAGTTTGCTCAAACTCAAGTCTATTGAGTTGGTGATGCCATCCAACCATCTCACCCTCTGTCGTCCCCTTCTCCTCCTGCCCTCAATCTTTCCCAGCATCAGGGTCTTTTCCAATGAGTCAGTTCTTTGCATCAGGTGGCCAAAGTATTGGAGCTTCAGCTTCAGCATCAGTCCTTCCAGTGAATATTCAGGACCGATTTCCCTTAGGATGGACTGGTTGGATCTCCTTGCAGTCCAAGGGACTCTCAAGAGTCTTCTCCAACACCACAGTTCAAAAGCATCAACTCTTCAGTGCTCAGCTTTCTTTATAGTCCAACATTCACATCCATACATGACTACGGGAAAAACCACAGCTTTGAGTATGCTTCGTTAAAAAATCAAAAGCAATCTAAATATATACATCTAAGTCTATAAAAACATCTGTTAAAACACATTTTCAGAGACTTCCCTGGTGATCCAGTGGTTGAGACTTCACCTTCCACTGCAGGGGGTGTGTGTTGGATCCCTATCAGGGAGGGCAGATCCCACATGCCTCGCTGCCAAAAAACCAAAACATAAAACAGAAGCAACATTGTAACAAATTCAATAAAAACTTTTAAAGGTGTCCACATTAAAAAAAATCTTTCAAAAAGACCACATATTCAGATGGGATTTTTGCTGCCCTAATGTCATACAGTTTTTCATCATGACTTTAAAAGAGGTTATCTATGTGGATGACACTTGATGAAATATCATTGATGATACGTGGCTCAAATTGACCAAAACATCATCGCTTCTAAACAAAGGACAGTTTGCGGTGTAGGTTTTTCTGTTTCCAATAAAACTTTTCTGCATCTGGCAAATAGATCAGGAACTTGTTGGTTGCTGTGGTAAAGTTTTCCATTATGTCAGAGCAGTGTTAATTTTCTTCTAATGAACAGGTTCGATGTAATTACATCTCTAGTTATGAAAATGTTCTTTTGTCTCTCTGCTGCAGAATAATTCAGTTTTAGAAATAGCTACGTTCTCAAAAAAACTTTGCTTTTCTTCTTTGCCAAATGAAGGTTGTTCAGAAAAATGTTTTTTTTTTTTTTAGGGAGGATAGTTTGCTGTTTTTGAAAAATTAATGTGCTATATACTCTTAATATTTTAGAGCACTTTTATTTCATTTTAAGTACTTTTATCAACTAACTCTTTTCATAGTTTGAAACATCTTTAGGAACACCTGTTCTACTCCATGTTTGTGGGTGAAAAATAATTTCTGGTTATTATGATAACAGTTTTCATGCAGTGGGATCGTAAGTGACTACTAAGAAAGATAAACCTTCAGACATTCTTTTTTTGGTCTTAATTTAGTTTTAATTGGGGGATAACTGCTTTACAATATTGTGTTGGTTTCTACCATATATCCACGAGTGAGCCGTAGGTATTCATACGTCCCCTACCTCTTGAACCTGCCTCCCACCTCCCACCCCATCCTGCCCCTCTAGGTTGTCAGAGAGCACAGGTTTGAGCCCCCTGCATCAGACAGCAAATTCCCCCTGGCTGTCTGTTTTACATATGACAATGTGGATACATCAGTGCTATTCTGTCATTTATTCCCACCTTCTCCTTGCCCTTCACCGTGGCCACAAGTCTGTTCTCCGCGTCCGCATCTCCATTGCGGTCCTGCACATACGTTCGTCATCACCATCTTCTACGTTCCATGTATATGCCTTAATATATGGTGTTTGTCTTTCTCTTTCTGACTCTCTTCACTCTGTGTAACCGGCTCTGGGTTCATCCACCTTGTGAGAACTGACTCAAATGTGTCCCTTTGCATGGCTGAGTAGTATTCCATCACGTACATGTACCACGACTTCTTTATCCGTTCCCGTCGATGGGCATTCAGGTAGAACACTCTTCGTTTTTAAGGTGACCGAATCGTAAAGATAGAGTGACAGATGCTCAAAGGGAGGCGGACAATTACAGAATTGTTCCCAAGCTCTCGTTTGTGTCTGCTATCCCATAGGTATACAGAAGTTAGAGACACGGTTCCTTTAAAGCTGTGTTTTTACATTTATTTATTTGACGGCGCCAGGGTCTTCGCCGTGGCGTGTGGGATCTTCCGTTGTGGGGTGTGATGAATTCCCTCCTTCCACTGTGTTCGCTGCCACCTCTTAGCACCCAGTGCTGCCCCAGGCAATGAACATGGCCTTCCTTGAACTTGGAACGGTTTGCGACACACCCGTGTCTACACGTTTCCATTTTAAAAGCTGCCCCACCGACAGTCGACAGTCGCGGCTGTTGACATCAACAAGTGGATTGTCCTGAAATGCCTGGTTTTTTTTTTTTTACAGTGCAGAGCAGGGAACATTTAGCTGATGACAGAGCCTGCCTTAAAGAGATGACTGTTTTCACTTTTCAGCACGAGATGACTGTTTTCATTTTCCCAGACAGAGCCTGTGTTTTGTTTTGAGGTGGGAAGGAGAGGTCAGTGCTATGCAGGGAGAAGGCAATGTTCGTTTGTTGTAGAAAACACACAGGGCAGAGGGGATGCCGTTCTTTCCACGGTGATGTCTCAGGCTTCCCAGGCAGCTCCAACGCAGGAGACGTACGACACTAGGGTTCAGCCCCTGTGCTGGAGAAAACCCCCTGGAGGAAGGCACGGCAACCCTCTCCAGGATTCTTCCCTGGAGAATCCCATGGACGGAGGAGCCTGGCGGGCTGCAGTCCACGGGGTCGCAGAGAGTCGGACACGACTGAAGCGACTTAGCACGCACGTGACGTCTGTGCTGCTTTGGATCCCATACCATCCGGGGCGGGTGGGTGGACAGTACCCTTTCCTCTAGGGGGAGGGGGAGAAGGGAGAATCCCAGAGAAGGGGAATGGTCCCTCCCGCCAGCATCCTTCACGACTCTCTTGCCCTCGCCCTTTGCAGGGACATGATGACCCTTCTGCTTCTCCTGCTGTTCCTCTGCGAGGCCCACAGCCAGGCGGCGTCAAAGCCCAACTTCGTCCTGCTGATGGCTGACGACCTGGGCATCGGGGACCCTGGTTGCTATGGCAACAAGACTCTCAGGTGCGGCTATGGGTCTTTGCGACCCCGTGGACTGTAGCCCCGCCAGGCTCCTCTGTCCTCGCGATTCTCCAGCCAAGAAGTCTGGAGTGGGTTGCCCTTCCCTTTCTCCAGGGGATCTTGCAGACCCAGGGATGGAACCCAGGTTTCCCACATTGCAGGCAGATTCTTTACCGTCTGAGCTGCCAGGCAGAGACTGATGAAAACTCCTTAAGAGCCTCTCTTTGGCTGTGGTTGGGAAGAGGAGAGTCAGGCTGCCCCCAGAGCTTTCTCGTTGTGGGGTGCAGAGGTGACTGGGGGCGCGGGGATGCAGAGGCAACTGGAGGGGATAGCTGAGACGGAGAGAGAGACCTGGAAACATCTCCACCCCCCTGGTCCCAGCAGCCCATTCTCAGGACTCGGCTTCTCCCTCCTAAACCAGACGCTCAGAGCCCTGGGCGAGTGAGGTGCCCCCAGAGGGCTGACCCCGATCGTGGAGTCCTCACTGTGGTCTTCCCATGACTCAGAGCCATGGTGCTCTGTCCCCTCCCTTTCCTTCCCTCCTTCCCACCACGTGCTGCGGTTCAGTCGCTCAGTCGTGTCTGACTCTCTGTGACCCCACGGACCGCAGCATGCCAGGCTTCCCTGTCCATCACTGCATCCCAGAGTTTGCTCAAACTGATGCCCATTGAGTCGGTGATGCCATCCAACCGTCTCATCCTCTGTCATCCCCTTCCCACCAACACACACGGCTCTATTTCCCTGGGTTACTGAGAAGCGATTCACTGTACAAAGCCCCCGAAGAAGCTTTCTTCTCAAGGTCGTGATGAATGACCCGCGAGTCTCTGTTCCAGGACTCCCAATATCGACCGCCTGGCCAGAGGGGGCGTGAAGCTCACACAGCACCTGGCAGCATCGCCCCTATGCACGCCCAGCAGGGCGGCCTTCATGACCGGCCGGTACCCCGTCCGCTCAGGTAACGCCCCCCAGCTCCTGCACGAGGTCCTCCTCCTCCCAGTCCTCATGATCCTCCCCGTCTTAACGGTGGTTTTCTCCTGGCTCAGGAATGGCATCTCAGTCCCAGGTGGGAGTTTTCCTCTTCTCGGCCTCTTCTGGAGGACTGCCCCCCAGTGAGATTACGTTCGCCAAGCTTCTGAAGGATCAAAGTTATTCCACAGCTCTGATAGGTATGGGCAGCCGGGTGCGGGGACTGAGGGCCTGGGCAGGGTCGTTGGGAGAGTGGGGAGGGCGTGACTGCAGCCATCTTTAGGATGACATGCCTGATAGAATTTGCACAACTGTAGACAGGGAAGAAACCATTTCAACCCTAGATCAAAACAGCAGGCATCTGTATGCACTGTTTGAATGTGTGCATGTGTCTCCTTATTTATGTATCTGTGTGTATGTGTGTCGATGGATGGATGGATGGATGGATGGATGATAGGTAGATAATGATAGACACACAGATGGATTGACAGATAGTTGAGTTAGGTGATAGAGACAGGGAGAGGTAGCTCAGTAGGTGAGGTGGATGATGGGTGAATGGCTGATGGATGAATTGTGGATGCTGGATGGATGGATGAATGCTGGATGGATAGATGGATGGTGGATACTGGATGGATGGATAGGTGGATGGATGATGGATGGATGGTGGGTGAATGGCGAATACTGGATGGGTGGATGGTAGGTAGATGGTGGGTGGATGGTAGGTAGATGGTGGATACTGGATAGATGGATGGATGCTGGGTGGATGGTGGATGGATGCATGGATACATAATGGATGGATGATAGGTGGATGATGGATACTAGATAAATGGATGAATGGTGGATGCTGATGGATGGACAGTGGATGGATGGATGATGGACGGTAGATGGCAGATGGATGATGGATGAATGGTGGATGGATGGATAATGGATGGATGGTAGACAGATGGTGGATATTGGATGGATGGATGGATGGATGGGTGGTAGATGGTAGATGGATTATGGATGGATGGTGGATACTGGATAGATGGATGGATAGATGGTGGGTGGATGGATGATGGGTTGATGGTACATAGATGATGGGTGAATGGTAGATGGTAGAAGAATGGTGGATACTGGGTGGGTAGACGGATGGATGGTGAGTGGATGGATGATGGATGGATGATAGATGGATAGTGGATACTGGATGGATAGATGGATGGATGGAGGGTAGATGGAAGATGGGTAATGGATGGATGGTGGATGAATGGATGCTGGATGGTAGAAGGTAGATGGATAATGGATGGATGGTTGATGGTAGACAGATGGTGGATACTGGATGGATGGATGGATGGGTGGTAGATGGTAGATGGATTATGGATGGATGGTGGATACTGGATAGATGGATGGATAGATGGTGGGTGGATGGATGATGGATTGATGGTAGGTAGATGATGGGTGAATGGTAGATGGTAGAAGAATGGTGGATACTGGGTGGATGGACGGTAGATGGATGGTGGATGCTGGATGGATGGATGGTAGGTGGACGATGGATTATCGGATGGAAGGATGAACAATGAATCCATAGATGGGTGGATGGGTGGGTGGGTGGATGAACAGAGGATGCTGACTGGCTGGATGAAAGGTAGATGAAGGGGTGAGTGGGTCAGTGGGTGAGTGACTGGATGCATGAATGAATGGTGGATGGTTAATGAATGCATGTTGGATGTTGGATGGATAAGATGCAGAGGCAGAAAGTTGAAATATATGCTAGATAACAAAAAAATGCAGTTGTGCACACACAGTAAACACCACCACACACACCCCCACACCTCCACAACATACTATTTATAAAAATTTTCATCTTACACGGCAGTAATAAAATTGCATCTGAATGACATTCCCATTGATTTTATTCCCTTGATAGGAAATGAATCCTTTTCCCCTTTCCCTTGATAAGCTTGGGTCTACATAGGTCATCAGACAAATCATGGAAAATCTCATGGGAGCAAAATGACCCTTCCCTTCCTTCCCACATCTTATCATAAAGCCACCATCACTTTTTCTCTTGTGTGAGGCTCTCACTAATTTACTGATGCACTTCACATTTTACAAGAGATGTTTAGAGGTATTTAAAATAATTACTGACTTATGAGTACGATTTACTCCTTCCTCGGGGGTTATTTTTATGTAAGGATTCATTTCCACTTTTAACTTTCAAGGGAGAAAGTCAACTTCTTCTAAGACTTTCATTTTAAGGAAATGTCCTTAAAAAAAAAAGCACGTGTGGGATGTCCCTGGTGGTCCAGTGGTTAGAACTTCTCTTTCCAGTGCAGAGGGCGTGAGAGCTGAGATCGGAGAGGTCAGATCCCTGGTCGAAGAGCTGAGATCCCATATACCTCATGGCCAAAACCCTAAACCAGAAGCAGTATTGTAATCAATAAAGTCTCTGAAAGTGCTCCATGTCCAAAAGGGGCTTCCATGGTGGCCCTAGTGGTAAAGAACCCACCTGCCAGTGCAGGAGATGTAAGAGATGGGGGTTCGACCTCTGGGTCGGGAAGATCCCCTGGAGCAGGGCATGGCAACCCACTCCAGTATTCTTGCCTGGAGAATCCCATGGACAGAGGAGCCTGGTGGGCTACCGTCCATGGGGTTGCAAAGAGCTGGACATGACCTAGGGACGAAACAACATGTCAGAAGAAAAGAGAATACTTAAAAATAACAAAAAATCCCAGGAAAACATTGGTGTTTTCTTACGTAGTTTCTTTGTCCTGCCTAAGAAGTCTATGGGGCTTCCCTAGTGGCTGAGTGGTAAAATAATCCGCCTGCCAGTGCAGGAGATTTAAGAGACCCAGGTCTGATCGGTGGGTCGGGAAGATGCCCTGGAGAAGGAAAATGACAACCTGCTCCAGTATCCTTGCCTGGAGAATCCCATGCACAGAGGAGCCTGGTGGGCTACTGGTCCACGGGGTCCCCAAGAGTGGGACACGACTTAACGACTCAGCAACATGAAGGATGCAAGCTGTTGGTCCTGGGGCTTTTTTTTTTTTTTCTTTTCCGGTCCCCAAATCGCCTCTTGTTTTCTGGTGGCATGAGTAGCTCCTACCCTAGACCGTTTAGGGAGATGGAGGTGAACGGGATCGAACAGATGTATCTTGATGGCCGCGCAGAGAGGCCCTAGGCGGTGTCAGCCCACAGGCGTCCGAAGCCGAGCTGGGCCCCGAGGGCGGGGCTTTCCGCCGGCTCTAAGCTCGCCGCCCCTGTGGTCTGTCCCCTCAGGCAAGTGGCACCTGGGCATCAGCTGCCACGACCGCGGCGACTTCTGTCACCACCCGACCAGCCACGGCTTCGACTACTTCCACGGGCTGCCCCTGACCAACCTGCGTGACTGCAAGCCGAGGGGAGGCACCGTGTTCGCCCCGGGCATCCGGCTGCTGGTCTTCGTGCCTCTGAGGCTCATCACCGTGGCCCTGCTGACCCTGGCGGCGCTCAAGTGGCTGGGGCTCATCCGCACGCCCCGCTGCGTCTTCCTCGGCCTCCTGCTCCTGGCCGCCCTGCTCATCGGCCTCCTACTGGGCTTCCTGAACTACTTCCGGCCGCTCAACTGCTTCCTGATGCGGAACCGCGAGGTCACGCAACAGCCCCTGTCCTACGACGACCTCACGCAGAGGCTCACGGCGGACGCCACACGCTTCTTACGTCGGTGCGTCGCCTCTGCCGGCCCGACGGCGCCCGGGGCGCGCGGGCGGGGCCGTCCTGGCGGTCTGGGCGGAGGGAGCGCGGGGAGCGGGGCGGACCAAGGTGCTCGGCGAGCCACGACTCCAAACTCCTCTGCTTGCCGGGGCACGTCTCCAAAGGATGCACGTGGAAAATGAGACGGCATCTTTTGCAGAGGGGTGTGTGCATGTCCGGGAAGGGATCCCGGTGCTGGGCAAGGCGGAAGGCGGGAGGAGAAGGGGCCGACCGAGGATGACATGGCTGGATGGCGTCACCAACGCCATGGACCTGAGTTTGAGCAAGCTCCGGGCGTTGGGGATGGACAGGGAAGCCCGGCGTGCTGCGGTCCATGGGGTCGCAAAGAGGCAGACACGACTGAGCCACTGAACTGACAGAGGCGGGGCTTGGGAATTGCAATGCTGTGGGCTCCATCGTGCCAGAGTCGCTTTGCCAGGTCCCGCCACCGCCCCCGCCCACCCCATCCTGTGCAAAGGAGTGTGTACGTGTGCCCAGTCGTGTCCGACTCTTTGCGACGCCTGGACTGTAGCCCACCAGGCTCCTCTGTCCGTGGGATTCTCCAGACAAGAGGACTGGAGTGGCTTGCCATTTCCTCCTTCCTTCCCGACCCGGGATCGAACCCGGGTCTCCTGCTTTGGTGGGTGGATTCTTTACCATTGCCTCACCTGGGAAGCCCTCTCTCAGGAACTCTTGCTGTGAAAAACAGACAGAATTGTTCTGTGGGCTTTGAAACTTTAGGGGACATTCCGAGGGAGAAACATGGAAACTCACTGTGAAAGTCAAACATTTCGTCTTTTTTATTTTTAATTAATTAATTTATTTTAATTGGAGCCTAATTACTTTACGACATTGTAGTGGTTTCTGCCATACTTTTTTTTTTTGTTTTTGATGGCTGCGCTAGCGCTCTGTCGTGGAGAGCGAGCTTTTCCTAGGTTGTGGCGTGGTGGTCTCTCTCTGTTACAGACCACGGGCTACAGGTCCCAGGCTTAGTAGCTGTGGCTTTTAGGGGCTCGGTTGCTGCGAGGCTTGTGGGTTCCTTACGAGCGATAGAACCGGCATCTCTTGCACCCCCTGCACTTGCAGGAGAGTTGCTAACCGCTGGACCTCCAGGGCCCTGAAGTTCCTCTGTGGGTTTCTCCTCTTAGAGAAAGTTTCTCCTCTTGTTAAGCTGCCTGAAATAGAAAGTGAAAGTGTTAGTTGCTCAGCTGTGTCCAACTGTTTGGGGGAACACTCCCCTGGAGGAGGTCATGGTCGCCCACTCCAGCATTCCTGCCTGGAGAATCCCACGGACAGAGGAGCCTGGCGGGCTACAGTCCACGGGGTTGCAAAGAGTTGGCCACAACGGAGTGACTAACACACAGGTCCGACTCTTTGCGACCCCCAGGCTGTGTTTTTCTAGAAGGCAGCAAAAGCTTTGGAACTTTGGAAGACATGCGTTTTACGCTATCATCCAGTAAGAGGTCACACGCAGATGTTTAGTTGAAACAAACCTTTCCCGAAAGGAGTTGCTTCTTCTCAGAGGGATTGCTTCTGATGCTTTCTACCTGATCCCATTTTCATTTTCTCAAAAAATGATGACACTGAATTTTGTCATGACACTGAATTAATATTGTGACTCAGCAAGGAGTCCCAATCTGCATGGCTGACGAAGCTCTTACTACCTCCTGGGTTAACCTTACACTATTTTATGAGTAAGAGAAAGGCCGTTCTGAAGTAGAATGGTATTCTGTGAATGTCAGACCTATGCATTTCAGCCAAAATACTTCAGACTCTTGCTCGAAAAACTTGCTGAAACAGCTTGATTTGCAGTGTTGTCTTAGTTTCAGGGGTATGGTAAAGTGATTCAATTTTGTATGTAACATATAGAGTAGATAATACTTTATAGATTCTTTTCCATTATAGGTTTATTATAATTGAATATAGTTACCTCTGCTGTGGGCAGTAGGTCCTTGTTGATTATTTCATATGTAGTAGTGTGTGTATCTGTTAATCCCAAACTCCTAATTTTGGCACCCCCCCCCCCCGCACTTTCTGCTTTGTAACCAACCATACATTTGTTTTCTGTGTCCTTCAGACTATTTCTGTTTTGTAAATAAGTTCACTTGCACTGTTTTTTTTTTTTTAGATATCACAAGTGATATCATATCATATTTGTCTTTCTCTGTCTGACTTAACTTCACTAAGTATGATCTTCTCTAGGTCCATCCATATTGCTACTAATGGCATTATTTCATTCTTTTTTATGGCTGAGTAATATTTCCATATTCTTTACCAATTCCTCTGTTGATGGACATTTAGGTTATTTCCATATCTTGGCTTTTCTAAATAGCGCTGCTATAAACATTAAGGTGTATATATCTTTTATAATGATGGGTTTGTCCAGAAAACCATACCCACGAGTGACATTTCTGGATCATGTGATAGTTTTATTTTTAATTTTTTTAAAGGAATGTCCATATTGTTCTCCATAGTGGCTGCACAAATTCACATTCCCACCAACAGTGTAGGAGGGTTGCCTTTCTCCACACCCTCTCCTGCATTTATTATTTATAGACCTTTTGTTTGTCTGTTTAACTTTTTGCCATGCTGCATGGCATGTGGGATATAAGTTTCACGACCGGAGACCAAACCCACACCTCCTGCATTGGAGGCACAGAGTCTTAACCACTAGACCACCAGGGAAGTCCCTATTTGTAGACTTTTTGATGCTGGCTGTTCTGACTGGCGTCAGGTAGTACCTCATTGCAGTTTGAGTTTACATTTCTCTAATAGTTAGTTGTCCAACCAGTTTATCTTGGTTTTACTGAGGTTTCTGCAGTTTTCTTCCAGAGCTCAACATTTAGGATATTCTAGCAAAACCGTAGTTGGTGGTTGTGGGTACTGAGTTATTTTTAAAGGGTTTTGTCTTCAAAGGGGGTGATTCCAATGCATCAGTTTGGCCAAAAAGTTCATTTTGGATTTTTCTGTGACATCTTAGGCTTCCTTGATAGCTCAGTTGGTAAAGACCCCACTTTGATTCCTGGGTCAGGAAGATCCCCTGGAGAAGGGATAGGCCACCCACTCCAATATTCTTGGGCTCCCCTGGTGGCTCAGATGGTAAAGGATCCACCTGCAATGTGAAAGACCTGGATTCGATCCCTGGGTTGGGAAGATCCCTTGGAGAAGGAAACGGCTACCCACTCCAGTATTCTGGCCTGGAGAATTCTATGGACTGTATAGTGACATCTTAACGAAAAACCCAGATGAACCCAAATAACCTGTTGCCCATGTTGAAGCAATATTAGTGAAAACACTGCCATGTGTGTGCCGCAGTGCCGTTCATAAGAAACTTCGCATGTGCATTATCTGAAGACTGAAAGATTTGAAAAGCATCTAGGTTAGCTGCTTTCTCATGTTTTTTTTTTTTAATTTCTTTTTTCTCTCTGAGCTGTATTCGTTAAAAACTTTTAAAATTAATTTTGAAATATAGGTATACAATATAATGCTAAGTGTCAGGTGTACAACATGGTGATTTTCCATTTAAATACATTACGAAACAATGACCATAATAAGTCTAATAAAGTTATGTCCCAATAGAAATTATTATTGCATTAAAACAGAAGCATCTAGGTAAAACCATTTTTGGATAACATGGTTCTATTAGAGAAGATATCTAATTGCTTTGCTGAATTGTTGGATTTAAGAATCTTGAGAGAATCGTCTTATATGGCACCAGAGAACCATAATGAGTGGTGACACTACCACATTTATAAAAAGTTTTTTCAAGGATCTGAAGGCACATAAATGTGTTATTTCTTTCACCAGAATATCCTCACAAATTTAGGCAGCTCTTACCACCTTTATGGGGCTTCAGTGTTGGCTCAGTGGTAAAGAATCTGCCTGCGTATATAGGTGACATGGGTTCAATCCCTGGGTCGGGAAGATCCCCTGGAGAAGAAAATGGGAACCCACTCCAGTATTCTTGCCTGGAAAATCCACGGACGGAGGAGTGTGGTGGGCTGCAGTCCATGGGGTCGCAAAGGATAGGACACGACCTCACAACTGAACAACAACTACCTTTATGACACGTAGATTCAGGGCTAGTCAGTAACAGAAGGATAACATACTAGCACAGACAGTGTTTGTGAAATTTATTCAGATTCATTTGAGTCCAAATTTTCCGATCGACCCCAGTGCCTTCTTTCCATGCATTGATATAAAGGACAGTCTGTGGGTATACAACTTGCCCTGGGTTCCATTCGTCACAGGCTACGAGGAAAATGATTCAAACTTTCATTGCTAAAATTTATATTCTTTCCCTGAGCCTCATGGCTGGGATGATTTATCAGTCAGTCAGTTCAGTTCAGTCACTCCGTTGTGTCCGACTCTTTGCGACCCCACAGACTGCAGCACGCCAGGCCTCCCTGTTCATCACCAACTCCCGGAGCTTGCTCAAACTCATGCCTATCGAGTTGGTGATGCCATCCAACCATCTCATCCTCTGTCGTCCCCTTCTCCTGCCGCCTTCAGTCTTTCCCAGCATCAGGGTCTCTTCCAGTGAGTCAGTTCTTCCCATCAGGTGGACAAAGGATTGGAGTTTCAGCTTCAGCATCAGTCCTTCCAATGGTTTATAGTCAAGCGTTTGTTTTCGAGATGCTGACTTGAGATGTGAAGCCTCTGATGACAAGGGCATCAGGGGCTGACGCTTTCATGGGTTTGTGATGGTCCCAGATGAGTTCTACCTGGACAAATGTAGGTGCGTGCCCCTGCATTACAAACATGTGTTTCCAAGTCGAGGAGAGTGGTGGTGTGGAATATATAACCATGCACTTCATGACCCCTCACCCTAACTTACTCTTGTAGGGATAGAATTTGTCTTGGGAAGATGCTTCTCCTGTTAGGGACGTAGTTTATCAGCTCTTCGCGTGTTGTTTTGTGTGTTGTTTTTGGCCGCCTTGCGCCTTCGTTGTGGCACGTGGGATCTTTCCT